GATTGCAGTGATTTAGGAGTCAGAAACAAGCCATGTCATTGAAGATGGTTCACAAATGCCAGGTCAGCTTCACCTTGAGGAGGATGCAATGTCTGAGCTCCAGCGAGAACTTGGAACAGCTTCTGAAGAATCTTTGGAAACTTCTGATTCTCAGTACATTTTCAGATATTGATTAATGCGGCTATAAAACTGAATATCTTTGAATGGTATTGTTTCTTCTTGTAGTCTAAGTATCACTTCCTGTGATTAAGTATTATTTCTTCCATCTCTTTCTTCCACTCTGAGATCATGCAGAGAGTCCCATCTGTAGGTCCCAAGATGGAAGAGACCAAACTTGAGTCAGAATGCTTCAGAAGTTCTTTTATTGTAGTCCTGTCCCTACTGGGAAACATTGGTGTTCAAGAAAGACGGGGGACTCTTAATTACTAGAATAAAATGTGGGTTTACAGAATGCGCCCTGGAGTTGGGGGTATGCAACTGTCTTATTCTGGGGCAGTAAAAGCAGTAAAAAAAACAAAAAAACCCCAATCTTCTGGCATCTTAAATTGAATTTATTATGGGCATTTTTTTACTTTATTTGCAAGGCCTCTAGATAATTTGTTTTGCTTTTTTCTGCGTTAGCCTAGGCGAGAGCAAAAATTCAAGCATGCTGAACATCTAAGAGATCATTGGTACTAATATTCACATTAGCATCAGTGCTACTGGCCTTATTTTTGTGCAAATTATTAGTATTCATCATTATTTAGCAAAAAGCCTGAAGCTGAGCTTCGTATTCCAAATCCCCCACCCCACCCCCAAGTTGTCTTCAAGTTCCTGAGGATGTCGTTTAGGGCTAAGCTAGTTTGGAAGGTCCAGGGCTGAATCCAGCCCAACAGCTGCCTTTCAAGTAAGAAATCATTTTCAGATCCCCTTTGATGTGGGACTTAGCCCCTCTGTAAGGAACAGCCAGCCATCCCAGAGCCACAGAGCAGCAATCGGACTGTGTGGGTATAATGAATCTTAGATAGCATCGGCTATCCACGTAATCCTTTCTGATCCCCCAATTCACAAGCAAAGCCTTAACGTTTGCTGAGTTTCCTGAAGCCTTTTTTCATATAAATTGGATTCTGCCTTTGGCGGTAGGCCCCTTCCTTTCTTCCCACCATTGCGCGTTGAGTCTTTTGCTGGCTGAAGATGGCCTGCAGTTTGCCCCCCCCCATCAAAAGAAAGGGTGAAAGATGCCTCTGAACAACTCCACTAATGACTGAACCTAGAGATAGTCCCCATGGCCCCATCAGTCCATTATCTGCTAGGAAGATGACAGTATTGATTAATAATTATTTCAGTTCAGGTGCATGTTGCAGGCATTTAATCTCAGGGTAGAGCTGTTCCAGTCCTGATGGCCACTGGCTTAAGTTTTAATATATTTTCTTTTTGAGAATAGCTTTATGGGTTTTGTTGCATTCTATGTCTCATACCATGGACCCTTAAATTTGCGCACTGTGTGGAGATGTCAGGCATAGTCATAATTTAAAGACGTATCTATGAGTTACTGAACCTGTGGTATGGGTTGGCCATCCATGTTTTATGTATTTGATGGGGAAACCATCTGGGAAGTCCAAGGCTGTAGGCTAGACTGAGAGGTCAAAGAATCTCAGAAGGCAATGGCACATCGGGTAGAGAAAGCTGCAGGGAGGTGTCAATGAAGTCACCAGACACTGACCAGGAGTCCAACAAGTGGATCAAGGCACCTTGCTGACCTTAACTGATCTAGAAAGCTAACCTGGGTTGGACCTGCTAGCCCTTGGATGGGGGTCCATCAAAAATGCCCAGGGCTGGAAGCTACAATGGGGAGATGAAAAAAAACAGAAGAAGACAAGGACAACCCACTTCCATATCTTGCCAAGAAAACAATCTGGACATGTCCATGAAGCCACTAGCTTGACTTGAAGGGGGGTTTCTCTTTAGCTCTCCACTCACAGTCCGTGTTCTCTAACCAAGACCCCACCCAGCACACAGAATGAACAAAGACCACATGGGCTCTCCTTGAAGAGACGTTCTGCCTGGAGGAACCAGCCTCATCTGGCTGAATCTGTGTCCCTATTTGGCCAAAGCCACCCCTCTCTCTGATGCCCCTTTTCCTCTCTCTGCTTTCTCCACAGGTATGCGCATTCTCGTCACCCTGCTCCTAGACACTCTGCCTATGTTAGGCAATGTTCTCCTCTTGTGCTTCTTTGTCTTTTTCATCTTTGGGATTGTCGGTGTCCAGCTCTGGGCCGGGCTGCTGAGGAACAGGTGTTTCATAGATTCCCATTTTCAAAGGTAAGTTTCCCAAAATCAGTCATTTCACTCTCTCTTCCTGTGCCAACCCTACAGTTGGGTAGAAGCAGGCAGCTGATTCTGTGTGTCACCAAGCAACTGAAAATAGTTACTTTAATTTAGTGTTGGCTTTTGGCTGATAAGGAGGAGGAGAAAGCATGCTTCTGGGATTTTCTGCCTTAGGCTTCAAAATAAGTTGGGATGGCTTAGAGCACAATTCATCTTCCCACGTAGTTGGTCATGGGGGTGAGGGACACCTCCAAAAACTTTATCTTGCTCTTCTCCAAGAGTGTCAGCATCACGGAAGCCACCAGAGAAGGAGAGTTGGGCTTGGCTTGCTGATAAGAACTTCTTTTGTTCCAACACCCTTGTCTGTTGACCTGTAGTGCGAGTGACATTCTCCAGCACTGCTAATTAGTCCTGGAGATGATACCGTTTCACAAGCACAGACTGTGTCCGGAGGCTGGAAATGGGGACGCAAGATCCTTCCAGTTGGCTTGAGCCAGAACTGGAAACTGTTATCCTAAGCAGTTCAGGATTTGGAGCTCAGCATCTATTGATTTTAGCCTGGTTTGTTCTGATTTGATTGCATCGTTCAGCACAACAACAATTTCCTAATGTAGGTTTTGGCCCCTGGAGTCTGAGACGGACTATGCCAAAGCTGGCTGCTCTGCTCTTACCAAATGCAGCATTTCTGGCCACAGAGTCATCAGGTGGCACCGAGGATTTGCCGCCAATGGGGGACAGGCGGGATCACTTAATCAACTAAGCGGGGCTGAGTCACACCTTGAAAATAATTCATACCTTTGATCAAGGTAAACCTATGGGAAGAGAAGGAATGGCAGATTATTTTAGAATACAAAAAAAAAAAAGGCTTGGATGACATGCAATGAAGGAGATAAAAGAATGAACTTTGTTCTCTTGAACATTTTCTAAAGTGTGCGGGGGGGGGATACAGATTAGGACTTTCATCCTTTTCTACACGTGTCTCCATACCGTAAATCTATGTGCACGTTTGCAAGCGCTATTCTCTGACGAAAACAGCCAAGGCTGGGCGACACGGTGGCTGATTCGTTTCACCGGCCTCCCCCTCCTGAACTTAATTGCTCCATATTAACTGGAGGGGGATGGCTTGAACTGGGAGGTGGGGAGACGTGTCCCCTTCCTGTGATATGTGGAGGGGCGTCAGGAATGGGGGAATGTTTTTCACATAGCGCACCGTAAAATAGATGAGGGATGACCTTTGGCAATACCCTGCCCGCGGGTGGGGAGAAAATGTAACGGTGTGGGGTCTGCGAAGAGGTCTAGGGGAAGTGGGCCCCTCCTTATGGGGCTGAGAAAACGGTGGCTGAAAAAAATCTGCATGTTTCTGGAGTTTCGGAGGCAAGTCTGGTCAAGGCAAAGCAAAAGTTGGAAAACAAGTCACCCACTCGTTAGCAATTAAACCCTGCCACTATCTCTGTCCAGCAGCCAACCCAATCCCGAAGCAATTAAAAAAAGATTTCAGATAAGCCTCCAGCGCCTGTTAATTTCTCTTTCTCTGCTCTTTTGGCAACCCAAAGAGCTGGAAATGGCAGGGGTGGGGTGGGGGGTTCCTGAACAGATGGGCCAAAGGCGAGGTTTTTTCAGAAAAACACCCAGCTCAGGAACAGAGAACCGGGCTCCTCAGAGATGAACGGTGGCGGTCCAGGGATGCACAGGAGGGTTCAGCAGGACCATGAGGACGCCAGAAGGAAAGGTCCGAGTCTCACCGAGACTGGAGTGGCCGCGCGCTCGATTCCAGCCCACGGGCAGCCTCTCACACCTCACGCAGCCGTCCTCTCTTGTGGCCGTGAATTCCATAAGCTAAGAATTGCCCTGCAGTGAATGAGTCTT